GTAGTATGTTCTAGAGGTAAAGCTATTACTACAAGAGAATCGTGCCGCTAAATTTTTTAATGGGTATAGGTAATCTTTATTTAATCTGTAACACAGCATAATCTTTTTACTCCCAGGAATTCTGAGAAACTGTCAAATTAGTTACTAAGATATCAAGGAGACTTAATCAGCCTTATTCTTGTTCATTTGTACAAGGGCAAATTACATATTAGAGCAAGCAAGATGGAGAATAATTCATTAGTGGCTAATTGAAAGAGTCTAACAGTATGTACATCAGAACAGACTAGCTCCTTTTGTTTAATACATAATGCAAAACTTTATAAGAAAAAGAAAATTCATGCAAAATAAAGTAAAGTGGAACTGAAAAAGGTTGGATAGTTAGCAAATAAATAAGTTATTTCAATATTTCAGACAGACTCTCTATTGTTAGTCAAAATATTATACCCTGAACTCTGGATAAAAATGAAATTTGACTTTGTATTTCATCCAAATTCTTGAGTTTACTATATGTTTATATCTATCAGGGAAGAAAGACAATTTATTTTTGTGGAGAAACATTTGTGATTAATTATATGTCATTAAAATAATTGGGAGTAATACCTATCTCACGGGATTGTTGTGAGGATTAATTAGAAATAATGTCTATAAAATATTTGAGGTTCTTGATGAAGGTGCTGTATAAATACAAAATAATATATATTAAAGTTATTTGTGAAAAAATAATTTACCTATTGGAAATTGAATACAAATTGAAAAGCAAAGGGTAGATTTGCTATGTCTCTAGGCTACTGATTTGTATTTCAAGGAATTTAGTTGTTTTTTTTGTTTTTGTTTTTGGTACCAGGGATAGAACTCGGGTCCTTGCACTTGTGCAGCAGGCAGCGAAACCACTGAGCTACATCCCCGGCCCCATATTTCAAGGAATTTAGAATCTTTCAGATGTAGCTGGATACTTTTTGCAAATAATGTTCTTTTTTGTCATTTTGGTTTTTTTTTTAAGGCACTAAAGAGTAAACTTAGAGGTGTTCTTGCAATGGAAATACATCTCCAGCACTTTTTTATTTTGAGATAGGACCTCACTGAGTTCCTCAGGCTGGCCTCCAACTTGCAGTCTTACTGCCTCAGCCTTTCAAGTACCTGAGATTACATGGATGTGTTTTAATTCAGCAGAATTTTTTTTTCAGTCACCCCAAGGATTAATAGGTATGGTACATTTTTCTCAATAGTGGCATAATATAAAAAGTGTTAATATAGAATTTTGCGCAACACATGGAACTCTGATATGACAATGATTCCTGTATAGAAAAGACAGATTATTTTGCCTCAGCTTGAATGCCCACCTTAAACAAGTTATTCTTCTATAGGAAAGTAAATTCTGTTAATACTATTTGGTTGATTTCTAGAATCTGGAGAGCTTTCACCAAAGCACTAACATCATCTACTGTGTCTTCTCTTTGCCATTCTCTCTCTCTCTTTTTTTTTTTTTTTAACATAAACCATTCTTTGAGTAGAGAAACAATCATGTAGTTTTGCTTATATCCACCTAGCCTCACACAAAATATCCTCCTCAACAATGTTGGTTTGATTGAACCCTTTCGGGTTGTTAATACTATGTCCCTTTAAGAGTGTAGAGGAAATTCCTTGAATTAATTAATTGTTCTCCTCTTTCCCTTCTTGTGATTCCTTGAAGATTAGTGTGACCCTTAGACCAGTTTGTTTTCCACACAGACTACTTGTACTGTAGAAAGAAATATGTCTCACAAACATTCCCAGATATGTTGCTAGCAGAATTTTCTCATAAACACTTTTATGATTTATTTTCAAACCTGGCTGCATATCTAAAATGTTCTGTTCCTTTTAGATGAAAGATTTAAATAATTAATGTTGATAACCAATAAATCTTCTTAACAATAATTAAATTTAGTATTAATTTTAAACTTTTATTTATTAGATTAAATCGCATAAATTGCCATATTTACAGTAAAATTGTTCAATATCAGTAATTTTCTTCTTTATCACTAGGGAAGCAGAGTAAGGGTCAAAAGTTTAGGTTAAGAAATCAAAAAGACAAGGCCTCAAATTATTGCCCAGTCGTTTATTAGTTGTGTAATTATGGATAATTTATTTATTCGAGTTAGGCTGCAATTTCTTCATCAAAAATTAAGATGTTAGTATTATATACTTCATTAAATTATTGTAAATATTTAAACTGATTAATACTTAGAGTAAATGTTCAAGGATGTTAGTGGAAGTTATTATTAGTGTTAGTTTTTTTTTTTTTGTACCAGGGATCAAACTCAGGACCTTGTGCCTGCGAGGCAGGCATGGTGCCACTGAGCTAACTCCCCGGCCCAATTAGTATTAAATTTAATTGCTATTTCTATTATCTTTCCCATTTTTTTCCTTGAATTTCCTGACTAGTATTCTTGTTTTCCACTAGCTGCCCTTGAATTCCCAATCCACTGAAAGTTCAAATATTATTTCATATGATAATATGAATTTTATGGACTACGAATCATTATCCTCTTCTTCCATAAAAAAGAAACAGTTTATATGATTTTTTTTTTCCCTAGGATTACTTGGCTAACAAAGGCAAAGCAAGGAAAAGGACTCATTAGCCCTCACCATTCTGGCTTTTATAAAATCATTGAAGTGAAAGTTCTAGAAAATATTCTAACATTGATGATTTTGAATAAAAATTATCACTCAGAAGGAAGCAGGCTCATTTGTTATAAATTTCCACAATGGTCAACATTTGTTTAGCAACTAAGATGTATTTTACAGTATGTAGCACAGTACATACTATGTATTTCTACTGCATACAGACCAGCTTCCTGAGATTGTCATTCATATCCCTTCTTTACAAATAAGAAAGATGCCAACTAGTAAATAGTGCAGTCAAGATTTGAAAGGAGGGTTGCATCCAGAGCCTGTGCTATTGACCACTGTACAGTAGTTCCTGTTAGAAAATTTTACTGTAAACTTTACTGCTTTTTAAACTTCCATTGCTCTTCAAGCAGTGAGCTTCAACATACCATATTTTTTCTGAAAAAAAAAAAGAAAACTTTGCCCCACAGAAATTTCATACACCGACTAGAAATTATTGCCTGGGAGGTTTGCAGTTTCACAGGCAGAACTGGCAACATACTTTGCAGAGCTCAAAGTAAGAGGAATATGAGAGGTCTCTTGTTAACTACTAAGAATTTCAATTAATAATGAGATGGTGAAGCACTAAGAAGTGTGGCCTCACTGAACGTGAGAGCCTTTGAGACCGCACCACCAGTATGTCCAGGACCCAAGCCCTGTTCATGGGGCCCCCTGCTCTGAATCTGGCCTTGTTCAGTGTAGCTGTTTTCCTGTGGACCTGCTGACAGCTTCATGGTATGAACAGAATGGAAGTGGAGGAGATCCTTACATCTGCTCCCAGAATCATGCTAGTTGTCAATGGAAAGCACCCCACCCCAAGGCAGGGGGAACCTTGGCAAAGTGAAACTCACCAGGGAAGCAAGACTATCAGACTGTAGTCCAGATTATTTGCCCAGTGAAAAAGGAGAAGTATAGACTACTTTTCAGAGAGTCAGGAAGTGGGGAGAAGAAAGAGGAAGTTTTGGGGAACTCCCCATATCTCACATAAGGAGAATCACCTGTATCCTCCAAAAGAATGGTGGCAGAAAAAATGCCTTTATTGCTTGGAGAGGCCTGTGTTAATTTATGTCCAAAGTCAACAAGACTGAAAATGGTTATTCAAATGTTGTTTGCCCTTAAATTGCAGACCAAGATAATATTTTAACTTTTCTTCCTTTCTAATTAGAAAATATGTCATTAATTTTCAGATTTTCAAAGCTTTGTATGTCAAGACCACTATCATTCAATCTTTTGGTGGGCAAGAATCAAACCAAGTACTTTCCAAATGGAAGTATATAGGATTAAACTCCAGACTCTCTGCTTACTGATTCTGTGACTTTAGGAAAGTTAATTAATCTCTCTGAGACTAGGGTTTTTAAATCTGTAAAATTAAAAAAAAAAAACTAAGGAAAACAGAGAGATACTGTAAGGATTCAATGGATAAAGGTTTTTAGTGCAGTACTTGACATATTGCAAAAATTCAAAAAATTAAAAAGTGTTTTCTATAAATAGGTACATTTACATAGATGCTTATACATATACACATTTATTTTTCATATATAATTTTAAATATCATATATAATATATTTTGAAGTTTCTGAGTTTTAGGCTGTGAGACATTAGGGGTAGGGTTAAATGTTTGGCTAGGCAGGTTACTGTAATAAATTTTCTTGTTTGGACTTCTGTTTATCATTGCTAAATTTACAATCAATTTATATGGCATTTGAATTGAATTGCTGTTGCCTGTACAGATAGGGATTTCCTCTCTACAATCCCCATGCTTCAAATCAAGCAGACAGAATGTTTACTTGAATATGAAACTAAAACAATCCTCAGAAAAGTCAGATGTGTTTCCTGTGTGAAATTGGGCTAATGTGCTTTCAGACACTGCTCAGAGAATCATTTGGGATGCATAAATTGTCATCTCCCAAGTTTATCTTACTTAGACAACACCTTTCTCCCTAATCCATAGCTACCTGATGTACTTTTTATGTGTCTCTTGAATTTAATCACAGAAAGTAAAATGGAAAAAGCTAAAGCTTTAGTAACCCTTCACTAGTACATTTACAGGGTTTATATTCAGGTTTCTCCCCAGGTTTTCAGTTTTATAATTCTCTCAGAATTTTCTGTTAACAGTTTAGTTACTGTATACTCATTTTAGATTCACCAAAATTTTGGAAGATAAAGAAAAAGCAGATGAAACAGTACACCCAACATAAAGTGTTTACTATTCCTTATTATTTAAATATGAAAATAAGGAATACTTCTCTGTTATTTTGGTAGTGGATAAAGCTATTTCAAAAGTAGTGTTCTCAAAGTCTGTTTAATGTGTCCTCTGCAAAATGAGTCATTTGTTTTATGTTTCCACTTCACAGAAGTTCTCCTATGGGAACATCCCTGAGTTGGAAATTTGACTGAATAAATTATCCCTGGTCTTCTGAATTATTAATCTTGGCTGCATGATATGCAAATCAGACTGCATTAACCATATCCAGCAGCACAGCACTGGGTTAGAAGCTGTATCCAGTTGCTGGCAGAGGTTCTGTCAAGGGAGAAGACTTCGAACATAATGGTAAGCTGGACTATAGCTCGTGTCTCTCAGTCACATAAAGTACTGCTGGGCTGCCTGCTGGGGCTGGGGGATCTTTAAAAAATGGTCTGTGACCAGTACATGTTTAAGTGTCAGTGAACTATTCTTAAGTAGATGTACAGAAGAAAAAGAAAATAAAAGAAAGTCTTAAGTTTTACCTTTACATTTATTTTTTTCAAAATTAAGTGTTTTAATTCCCAATACTAAATGTATTTTATTTTCAAAAATCTAGCATGTTTGGTAATGTCTCAGTAATACAGCTTTCACTAAAACTAATAATTTGCTTCACTTAAATAAACATAACTATTTACAGAAAAAGATCCAAAATTATATGAAACAAGCTGTTGTGTATATTTTATGTGTAGAGAATAATGTATTAGAGGATATTTAAAAGTGTCCTAAATATTAAATTTAGCATTTATACATCATAAAATGAGATGATTCAAGAATATAGTTTACTAAAGAAAGTAGAAAATTACAGAAACTGTTATTCTATTTTCTAGAGTGGCTCAAAATTTGTAAAGTTTTCTTAAAGGAAATTATTGAACATAAAATTTGATGTCATGCAATAACTTTATATTAACTTATTTTCTGGAGTGATTTATAGAGTATATAAATTTAAGATTTCAATATTAAAGTATTGTATCATTTTTAGTATGAATACATTTTTCATTTACATTGTTTAGTAATGAGAAAGATAATTTGTAAGTCTGCATTATTATAGAAGTTAAAAATTAAAATTCCACAATGTTTGATAGTTGTAAAAAATTAAATCCTGAAAAAGATCAAATATATTAATTTCAAAATCCAGTTTGCATAAAATGTACATTTTTTCCATTTAGTTTATTGGTACATTTTAGGTATACAATGCAGTTACATTCATCATTGGGATCTTGTACCTTTACATGATGTATCTTGGTTCTTATTTTTTCCCCATTCCCTTGCCCTCCCTTCACCCCCTCCTCCCTTCCCTATTTACAGACTTTGTTTCCATTTTTTTCCTTTTCTCATATTTTTTGTTTTCCCTTTTTTCTTTTCCCCACCCCTCCCACTTCCCCTAGTCCTTTAGACCTTTTCTTCCCATTTCACAATATCATTATACATTTTAGGTGAATAGATTTAAAATGAAAAAATTCTCAAATTAAAAATGAGTACTGCTGATCTGTTTATGTGAATAATTTAGATACTGCTTCTAGCTTTTTAATTCTAACAGGGTTAGATACAGTTTTGGACTGGGAACTAACAATTTCCCTAAAATCACCAATAATTTTTAACAAAACTGTTAGAAATAATTTATCTAAATCAGTTCGAATCTATTTTATCCTTACTTTCATTTCCTATAGCTAACAACTACTGGAAAGTGGAAGAGAAACTGCTAATTTTTCTGAAAAATGTTTTCCTTTAATCAGGGAAGAAACAACGTACTTCCCCAATTTGTGTAACTGCTATGGCCACACTGAAAAAACTCAATATATAATCATATTTGGAATAAAATGTCCTCACAATCGTGGCTCCTTGTGAAGTTAAATTGGCCTGCAAATATTGAATACCCTACATTTATAAAATCATAATTTATAAATATCATAGACTTAGAAAAAAATTTTAAGCATGAAAAGAATGTATCAAAGAAGTGCATTATAAAACTGAAAATTTTAATCTCATATTTATAAATATAAATTCAAATAAATATTAAAGTTTAGAAGGGTACTCAGATACTAAGAATGGTTAGTTTAAAGACTATTTTTTCATTATTTTTGCCCGTTTGCATCCTGTGGGTATTATTCAATTAATATGTATTTTGTACATAAATGTTGAAAAGTTATTTTTAAAAAGAATGAAGCAACCAAGTTATGAGAAGCAAGACAAGAGTATGAATGAGTGAAAGAAAGGAATGAATAAAATCAGTCATTCGTTTTCCTTATTTCAGCCCTGGTATTCTATGTCCTGATTTCCAGCCTCCTTAGATTACCAGAAAGTAGCTTCTCCATCCCTTCCATCTGGTCCCTAACTTGCCTGAGTAGCAAGAAGTCCTTGGTAATCTGGCTTCAAGTTGCATAAGTCTTCATGGATAAATTTCTCATTCATGGCAGCCAAACTTTCCTGCTGCATGTAAGTTGCATAAACAACTCACAAAAAATTAGCCTTTAGTGCCAGAAATATGACTGGGTTATGACAGGAAAAAAAAGAGAAATTTAAAAACTGAAATAAATGAATTTCTTGTCTTAATTCTGAGTGTATACACTAGCTTTTTGAGTACCCACAAAACAACAAAAGTCTCCAAAAGTGAGCTTTGAGGAACTTAACATTCAAAGCTTGAGCAAAGGATCAGCCACAAAAGAGTCCACAAACAGAGAAAGGATAGAGATGAGGAGACTGGTACATCATAGAAGACAAGAAAATGAGGTCTTCCAGAAGGCCTGGAATTAAATGCTGCAGGAAATGGAGTGATGACTATTGATATAAAAATACAGTATATTAACTTTTTAAAAATTCATCTACCCTTTTGGAATATTTCTACAAAATTAAAAGAGTATTATCATATGTATACTGCTTTTTGTTTAAAAAAAAAAAAAAGGCAGAAAGTCCAGCTAACCCACAAGAAAAAAGGCAGAATAAAAACTATTTAGAATCTGATTGGTAGGGACAAAACTATACCACTTAGGTGCATATGTTTTTACACTTTTATATTTTTGGTAACTCCGGTTATAAATTCTTAATTAAGTGCTTCACTTTCTTAAATTGATCCTTGGCTATCTATAATATTAAATTTTACTTTGTATAAATATATTTTACATCACAGATATCACTAAAAGCTTTGCCAATTTTGATCATCTATCATACAGAGTATCAGCTTTTATAGCAAAATAGAGCAGTGGGCTCAACTTGGTAGACATGCTATTTACCTGAACTTGGAGAAAATATTTATAAAACTGCTTTGTAAATGGTTAGATGTTTATAGCCATCTCTTATACACTCGTTTTCAAACCAACTATCTTCTAGCCACTGTGCCAGATGTGAAAGTTAAACAATGAGTCAAACAAAATTTTAAAAAATGCTAACAAGTTCAGTATACAATGAAAGCATGAAATGGAAGGACCTAGAATAGATGGGTGGTCCAGAGAATATATTTTGGAAAATCCTCACTTAAACGGAGACCTGAAAGAAATATAGATAATAGACACCATATGTGATAGCTCAGTAGTCACAAGAGGAAAAATCATATTCAGAGAGAAGGGACTGCACATTTGGGACTGCTTTCTGTGCATTCACAGAACAGGGAAAAAGAAAGATGAGCAGGGAAAAGTATAACCCTAAGTTAAAGTGAAGTACAAAAGTCAGATAGATAGTAAAATCGTGTCCTCATGATGGATTTGGACTGTGAAAAGTCATTGAAAAGATTTGTAAGGAGACAATAGGATCATGCAATGTAGTCCAATATGGAGATGTTGATGGCTTGGCCTAGATGAAAGATTTGGAGCAACAGTAATAGATTTGAGAAACATCCATAAATTATAGTCACAAAGTCTTGGCAATTTGTTCGTTATTGAAGATGAATTAGAGAAAGGGGTTTTGCTTAGATTTCTGTGGTGAGCACCTGGATAGACATGGAACCACCCATTTTACCTAGCTAGGTGGCTATGCTGTATAATTGGTAAGGAAGTTGGAGAGTTTATGCCTGTGAGAGATTAATAAATAGCAACAATAAACAATTGGAGCTGTTAAGATAGGTCTGGGCTGGGTTGGAAATCTGGGAATTATTGTTATAAAATGGTCATTAAATCTCAAAAGTGGATGAGATCATCATGAGAGAATATAGAAAGAAAAGAACTCAGGACCATGTTTTGAGGACCTCGACATTTAGCACTTGAGCCACAAAAGAACCTACAGAGCAGAGCCAAAAAGAAAGGAAGAAAACAAGAATGACATGGCATGGAAGACAAAGAGTGTCATGGTATTAAAAGTAGCTGAGAATTCAAGACATGTGAAAAGTAACCATGGGGTTAAGCAATGTGGAAACTGTTTTCATGGACTATTAGGTCAGAAGCCTAATGCCAATAGCTTGGCAAAAATGTGGTGTCAGGATGTCAAAACACTTAATGAGATGCCTCTTTTCAGAAATCAAGCTATGAAGAGGAAATGTGAAACAAGGAAGGTTTGTTTGAAAGTGCTCCTTTTTTTAAGACTGATAGATCAACATTTCTTAAATGCAGATGGAAAAGATGCAGTTGAGATGGAGAAGGGAGCTGAAGAGACAGAAGAAACAGACATTGATAACCTAACAACCTTAAGAACTTGAGAATGAATAGGATCTAGAGTAATCCCAGTGATTGGTCTCTAACTCAGTGAGACAGAGGGCAAAGCCATCTGCTAATGATTTGTGATGATGGGTAGGGCAGAATAAGTGGAAGAAGTTTGACAGGACTTGGGAAAAATATAAAATTGAAAAATATAATAAATTTCTGGGAACGTGAGAGGGCAGTAGAATCTGGTAACTTCAAATGTAGAGTGAAGCCTATCTGGTCAGTTCTTCAGAAGCAGTCATATATATATACCTGCTGGCTGAGGAACACCTCATAGAGTTTCATTTAGTATTGGACTTAGTGGCAGGCTTCCATGCAAAGACTTAAGAAGCTTATTCTGGAGGAATCCAGAATGTTTTATAGTAATTAAAAATAGCAAAGTATTGAAATTTTCTAGTCTCATGACATATTTTCATGAATAAAACACACTTAAAATACCAGTAATTATTTACTTAAGGAAATCACTGGAACTTCACAAAACCAGATGTGAGTTTTGAGAGTCCTTTATCATAGAAAACTTTACTGAGTGTTTGCATGCCTCTCAGTAAAAGAAGTTCAAGTGCCTTTGTTCTGATTTTGCTCCACTTAGCAAAATTCTATATAGAAAGAATCATCGATTGCACCTAATGCTCAGAAGTCTATTTGATAAGATGATTTTTAGAAAATTTTAGTTGCAATTTTGCTTTCTTTATTAGAAATAAGTAGGATTTAATGTTTAAAAATGGTGATCCAGTACATTTTTTAGATAAATCAGGTTCTTAAAATACCCTATCCAAACTACAATCTGGCCTCTTTACAAGAGGGAAAATTTAACAAAATATTTGACATCTGAATGAATCACACTGCCTAGTTTCATGTTCCTTATTCACAAAGTATTACTACTAAAGACTTTTACTAGGTATGTGACATCAAAAATACTATAGTCTAAGGCCAGGGATTTAGCTCAGTGGTTCCACTGCCTGCCCTGCAGGCACAAGGATGGGAGTTCAATCCCCCGTACCATTAAAAAAAAAAAAAAAGTCTAGTCTAAATTTGAGTATCGTGTCCCAAAAAACTCCCTTATTGGAACCTAATAGGATTCAGTGGTAAAGTCTTTGGGGAGGGGATTAAGTCATAAGGGCTCTGCCTTTTGACTGGGATTAGTACTCTTAGAAAAGAGATTGAAGGGAGGTGCTTTGTCTTTTGCAATCATTGTTGTGAGAATAAAGCAAGAGGAACCATTCTGGAGCAAAGGGTGGCCCCTTACCAAAAGCTGAATCTGCTGGCACCATGATCCCAGACTTCCCAGCCTACAGAATCATGAGAAAAAAACATTACTATTGTGTATAAATTATCCAGTGTAAGGTATATTACTTTAGCACAGAAATAAACTAAGCTAGCAAGATATTTAGTTTTCTAAGCTTTAGGGAAATCATATGTCAAATAATAATAACAACAGTCCCCACTTCATTATGCTACTTATGTATTAAATGATATTCCATGGAAAATGGTGAGCACAGAGTTGTATGCTACCAACTTTCAAAAAGTAGTAGACACTGAAGATTTTCAGCTTCATAGTTCATATTTTGAAAGATTGTATTTTAAGACTGAAATTGTATTTTCTAAATTTAATTTAAAAATCAAACTTCTCTTAATATGGAAACAAGTAGAAGCTACTAAAATAGAAATATTGGAATTCTAACAATCTCTGTGTCTTGTAGGTGATGGCTCAATTCAGTTTAACTCAGCAGAATTTGTTGAACAACTACAATATGCACGGGACTATGGTAAGTTATGGAGCACAACAGGGAATTAAGACTTTCCTCCTCACCTATTTTTCAACACTTTCCTTGGCCTTTTTGCTATTTGTTAAGCATTCTGTGTTTTTACCTGAGGGGTTTGCTTGAGTTCTTCTAATGTTTGGAACATACTTCCTCCAGATATAGATATAACTCTATCACTTCATTGAAGTTTCCATTTAATGTCATCTCATAGAAAAACATGTACCTGGCGACCATGTAAAAAACATCTCATTGCTTCCTTCTACTCAAAAACTCTGTTAACATTTTTACTCTTACACATTTCTTTCATCCATAGCATCTTTCATTATGTAGCATCATTTATTTATTTTTTTTAATTTATTTTTGTATCAGGGTTTGAACTCAGGACTTTGTGCTTTCAAGGCAAGCGCGGTGCCACTGAGCTAAATCCCCAGCCCTTTATTTTTTTAATTCTTACCAAAACAGTATCCTGTGGTACTTTGGTTCACAAACACTTTTGTTTGCAAATAATTTGGTTCACAAACTAAAGCATTTGGCGTAATTTTGTTTTTGTTTGAGAACTCTGCATCAGGTGATGAACACGACTGTGGCCATCTTTCCCACAAAAACATGGATGTAGCTATCTTTTCCAGAATCATGAAACAAATTAAGTTTGTGAACCAAGGTACCACTGTACATTTTCTCAGATTAGGAACTTTGTTTGGCCTACTGATACTAACCCAGTTCTTAGTTCCTAGTTCCTAGTTCAAACTATTCAATAAATGATTGTGGAAATATTATATTACATACGTATATATGTTTATATGTGCGTCCATACCTCCACAAAGTAACACACTCTCCATAGTTCAGCTATCAATGTTATTTTTAAGTTACTGTATTCTGCACAGTTTTGTTCTTAATCACATTCTAGTGTTTCATCTTTCTCTTTTCTTTTTTTTTTTTTAGGCATGGAATTCAACTTGTAGAAACTGGCTGACAGCACAGGTTGCTTTGCAAAAGTACTATCTTTCAATTTTCTATGGGATTGAGTTCGTTGTAGGAATTCTTGGAAATACGGTTGTTGTTTTTGGCTACCTCTTCTGTCTGAAGAACTGGAATAGCAGCAACATCTATCTCTTTAACCTCTCCATCTCTGATTTAGCTTTTTTGTGCACCCTTCCCATGCTGATGAGAAGCTATGCCAACCAAACCTGGATATATGGAGATGTGTTCTGCATCATCAACCGGTACGTGCTTCATGCCAACCTCTACACCAGCATCCTTTTCCTCACCTTTATCAGCATCGATCGATACATGCTCATGAAGCATCCTTTCCGAGAACACCTTCTGCAAAAGAAAGAGTTTGCTGTTTTAACCTCTTTGGCTATTTGGGTTTTAGTAACCTTAGAGCTACTACCTATACTTCCTCTTATAAATCCCACTACAACTGAACAAGGCACCAACTGTCTTGATTATGCAAGTTCTGGAGACCCTCGATACAACCTCATTTACAGCATGTGCCTAACCTTGTTGGGATTCCTTATTCCTCTTTCCGTGATGTGCTTCTTCTATTACAAGATTGCTGTCTTCCTAAAGCAGAGAAGCAGGCAGCTCTCTACCACCTTGCCCCTTGAAAAGCCTCTCCACTTAGTTATCATGGCAGTGGTGATTTTCTCCGTGCTCTTTACGCCCTATCACATTATGCGGAATGTGAGGATTGCTACGCGCCTGGACAGCTGGAAGCAGAACCAATGCACACAAGAAATCATCAAATCCTTATACACTGTGACTCGGCCATTGGCCTTTCTGAACAGTGCTATCAACCCTGTCTTCTACTTTCTGATGGGTGATCACTTTAGGGAAATGCTGATGAGTAAACTGAGACACCACTTTAAATCCCTTACAACCTTCAGAAAATGAACTTATACTTTATGAACTCATACTTTCATTTAGTGAAAAGTGAGCTGTTTGTGAAGCAGACTGTTTTATGCATGCAACATTAAGCCAGTTAGAGTTGGTTTTAACCCATAGACATAAATCAGAGAGGAATATAAATATAATATGACTCTGGTTTAACAATTTGCACACAAGGTGTGGGAAAAGGGGAAGAGAATGTATTGATTTGTCCACCTAAGAATGGAAAGGTGTTGGACTAACACCATCTAATGTTTGGGTGAATAAGTCAAAATTCAGTTTTATTAAGACCTTCTCAATTAGTGCAAGAGAATAAAAGATAGAGCAGCAAACTGTGTGCATTTTATCTTTGGTCAGATAGAAAAACTATTTTGCCCTCATCCTTATATTATTCACTCAGCCCTAAAACTTAATGTGAGAACTGAATAGCAGAAAACTAGATATATTTTATTTAATTTTCTTTCAGATGGTGTGTACCTGAAAAAATTTAAGTAACAACTATGAGTAAGAAAGTGATATAGTGAGTTCAAGGATGCCTATATATTTCTTTATTTTGATCATGAATTAAGATCGGCTTGCAATTGTTCAGTCCTTTTTTTGTTGTATATGATTTATTGGAAAGAATCTTAATTTAGGTTAATAGAACACAAGGAGATACATCAACAAAGGGAGGTGAAACATTTCCATTTCAGCTGTAGGAAATTTAAGTGATTTAAGAAAAATTGTTAAATTTCTTAAACAATTTCTTAAATAATTTTATAAAATTCTATAGTATTTTATCAAATACTAAAGGCATGGCAAAGATAGTTGCAAAAATTTCAGTTACAGAAGACAAAATGCTGATCAGGAAATCCAAAACAAAACAAAACACAACCAAAATAGAGTACATTATTTTAATTATTGTGATGGCTAAGCTTCTCAACTTAATTGGCTTGGGAGCTGCCCGGGGAATTAGCGAACCATACTTCTAGGTATGTCTGGATGAGTCAAGAAGACATGACATTTGGTACTGTATCTGATCTCTCACCCTTTCCTCTGTAACTCTGTTTCCCTGCTTCACTTCCGGCTCCATGATTTAAGCAGTTTTGCTTCACCATGTCAATCTGCCATGTTTCCGCCCTGCAGTCAGCTGACCATGGACTGAAACCACGAGGCACACTAAACTTCTCTTTCCTAAGTTTGGGTATCAAGTACTGTGTCTCAGCAACAAAAAAATCTGTCTGAACAACAACAAAAAAATCTAATGCAATGATGATTGTTCTATCTAGAATTTTATTATAACGGCTTGAGCACCAGTTTATCAACATATATTACAATTCATTATCCCTTCTGCTCTTGATTAAATAGTGAACTTTAAAATATATTAATATTATAAAACCAGTAAATAAAAGGAAATTAAATGATGATACCAGATTTATTGAGTTAGTTTTCCCTTTATAGAGGGAAAGTTACAGGTTTTCTCTCCCCCCTGTTTTAAATGAGGAAAAGAAAAAGAACTGGGATAATATACAATGGCAAATTGATCTCGAAGAAAGTGACTCACTTTTGGAGAAGCTTTTCTCGTAGAACATTGCATAATGTTTTCTAAGAAATGAAAGAACATAAGGAATATTTATATGCATATTAATATAAATAATCTTAGAAGAGTTAAGCATGATTCCTTGCCACAAAAGGGGGGTGGCATATGTGTTGCATTAACTTTTTAAAGTCAACGTAACAATTCACTGATATGCAACGTAATGTGACTGTGGCTACATGTGTTACTTCCTTTCCCTAATATCACTAGCTATAAGGAATAACAGGAAAGATAAAATAAGCATGATAAATACAGAGACATAAAAATCCATTGTCCTTCATGGTTCTGAAGTACTTTGATGGTATTACATTCCAATATTCCCAAATCCCAGAATATTCTCAGGGGACACATCTAGACTCAAAGCAACTGAAATATAAAAACACTTTATTCACAAATAATTTAATGTCTTCGTCTTTGATCCCTCAGATTAAAGTAGGAGCTCATGCATGTTAGTCAAGCAGTCTACCACTGAGATACACCCTAAGCCCCTAAAACTTTATTTTCTTATGTAGCACCAGGGTTTGCAATATTTTTGTTATGGTTTGCTTTATTATTGATATTTCTAAATTTTAAATGTCATTTTATAGCTATCTAATAATATCCTGACAATGGAGCTCCTGAATTTCTTCAACAAAAATGACCACAGAAAGAACTTTAGGGAAGAGGTATTTACTTCTGCAAAACTAGAAACATATAATTTAACTTTAATTTGCATATTATATATGAGTTTGAATTTGTGAAGATAAAATTAAATTTACTCCCCTACAAACTCTGCAAGGAGTGGCAGGGTGAATTCTTTCTGATAGCACATTGAAATAATTTGTCAAATCATAAGTTTTTACATATACTTTGTAATCAAAATGTTGAGAAATTGCATAACACATTTTAAAATTGTTATTCTTTACTCAAGTCTATCGTATGGTAACTTAATTCTTGACACATTAAATTTGTCTGCACTAAAATTATAAAGGCTGTTCTATTTGCTTTTTAACTAGGCAGTTGTAGGAATTTTAAAGAATAGAGAAATCCTTTTTGGATCTATAGTTTGCAAAAGGAAATCACATTGGGATTTGGTATATTTTATTTTAATTGACTTCCTGAAGTCTTCAGAATGATGTGTGAAACACTTGGACCAACATTCTGCAATCGGAACTAACCCTGTCTTCTTTTGTTATCTCCTACCACTGTTACCACAGTCCACCCAGATAAGGATCACTACTTCATTTCATTATATTTGGAATTTTCCTCATTAAGCATGCTTTGAAGCTCTCCTTTGTCCCATCATGCTTGCACATAAAGAAATCTAAGTATCTTTTAAGGTCCATCTCAGCTATCCTTTATACCCTCTTTCCCTTTCCATTACATCTTCTTTTCCCCTACTCTGGAAGTTAAAACTTCTACCTTTGAGTCTTCAGACTATAATTTAAGGAATATTTTTATGAAATGTATTATTGTGACTACTTTAGATTTAAGTCAAGACCAGAGTCTGTGAGGTGAAAGTTGTACCTGGTTTGTGTTTCCCACTGTCTTCATAACTCCCACCTAGATACTTTTAAAATTATTATTAGGAAGGAATCCTTTGTGAAACAAACTTGAATGCAATGCTGCTTTGGGTATGTATAATCAAGGTATATTTCTGTCATCACTACTAAATAAGTAACAGTATTTTATGTGAAGAATTGAGTGAATGCACACAAACACATACATACCTGTCATTAGCCTGACCCTTGTATTTTTTGAGAATAACTTTAATGTGTGCTTGTAAACCATGTCTGCTAGATGCAAATCTGGGTCATTTTGGGATTTGATTTCATTGATTGCCTTTTTTCTCTTTATTACAAACAAAATTTCCTGTTCCTCCATATAAATTTTGCTTTTATTCTAGACTGTAAATAATATGTTGTAAAGAGTCTGAATATTTTGTATCTCACTAAGGAATATCAATATTTTGTTTCACAAATAAACTTCATCTCCAAACTCTTAAATCCCATTTCAGTTATTTTAGTCTTAAATATTCTACTTGTAATTTTTCCAACACATCCATAGTTCAGAGTTCAACATTTGAGCAGAGTTTATGTACAAGATGTGGGTTGGCCTTTCTGTAGCTCTCTCTTTTCCAGGATGTTTGTTCACTCTTTACCTTCTGCTTCTTAGTGCACCCATACCTTATCTTTTGTTTTCCCATGACAGCTATACTGAGGGTTTAATTCTTCAGGGTCCAACGAGGACCTGCACCCAGCTATTTAAACATAAAATCAAAATATCATTCAATATTTTACTTCTTTTGAGTATTTACCCTTTTCCTGTGTCTGCTTTCATTTGTTTATTCTTTAAACCCCTCACATAGTTCTTCATTTAAGATGTTGCTGTTGTTAGAGTTTAATAATGTTACTTGCAGGAAATAGGAATTACTAAGCCATTGCCAGAAGCAGAAACTCTTTCTATTACAGAAATCAATACCCTTAAGTGGATAATGTAATTTCATATCCTATAATAGTTTGAATTTCCACTAAGTGTTTTCAAAAATTCTTACAGGTTTACTTACTTAATATCATCTAGCTTCATCTCTAGCCTCTGTGTTTATTCATGCTGTTTCTCTTTTCTTTTATACCACTTTTAATTTTAAACTTGCCCTCTAGAGTGGTTTCCAACAACAACAAAAAAGGCAGCTACATTTTTTACTTGGCTCAGGATGTAGCTCAGCTGATAAGTGGATGTTTAGCATGTGTAAGGACCTGAGATTAAGGCAATTGTGAGCACAGAATGGTTCTCTTTCACTTCTTTCTAGCACCTTCTTCTATCAAATGTCATTGTCAAATCACATGCTCAGTCAATTAGGAGTAAGAGATTTAACTGATAATTTAATATGTCAGGAAATTAAACAGAATATATGTATATTTTATACATTATGCATGTATAAAATACTATATATAATCTGAAATTATAAAATACACCTATGTGCATATTTATACACATGCATATTTACAAATGTAGTACATATAAATGTGGTAGAGGCCTTAAGTTTCACAGTAGTCATATCTCTGACTAAAACTGCATGTTCAAATTAATCAAGAATCCTCACTCTTTGACTCAAGTCAACTATCAGTAACAAATGAGGCATTTTGACTTCCATTTTCTGCAGAAATCTGTAGGAAAACTACTTGCCAGAGTCCTAGAAGGAAAGAAATATGCTTGCTCGGGATTGAGGCACTAAGTCTCATCCTAAATCTTTAACACAAATGATTGTAATAGGTAGAACTTTAGGCTTAGGCGAGTCACACTCAGTTGCTTTAGTATTTTATATAGTTTATCTCATTAAATTGTCATCAAAATCTACGAAGGTTATAGATGAAGAAAAAATTATTGCATGGAACATTTGATGGCCTAGTCAAGGTCATAAGGCTAAATTTCAGAGATCATGCTCTTAATAAACACACTGTGAACCATTTTGCTGGAGTCTGATATATTTGAAGATCAGGATTTTTTTCTTATTTAAGAAGGTTTACTCCATAGTTCAGTAGATGATTCAATCTCAGTGACATGATAAAATTCTCAGGATAACAACCCCAGGAAGATAGAAGAGTGCTATGGTAAGGAATCCATGAATAATGAAGTCACAAAACACAACTGAGGAATATGTTATCCATCTGAATAGAGACTTTTCTAAATAATGACCTTGTATGCATTTTCAGAAAGCTAGCCTCTTTAGTGAAATACCCTCATAAGTTTTATGACAGAAAAAGTTCTATGTTACAGTGAGATTTCCAGATAGAATGAGTTATAATAACATTTTGTCAAAATGATAATGTGGAGAATACTTAATTAGGAAATTTTGTCTTTTAAAGCTTTATACAGAATCTTAAACTGTATTAAAATACAAAATTTGCTAGGCTTATTCATTCTAGATGTCAAAATAGTGACTTGATCAGATTCCAAAGATAGCAAATTATTATACATTATGTCGCATTTAAGTCTATGGAGACCAATACTTAAAAAATAAAATGTTATGTTGATTGGTGCCAAGAATTCACAGGGAGAAAAAGAACAAAGACTGTGCTGCACAAAATTTTCAGCCTTGTTAAAATAAACTCCTTAGACTTGCCAAAAGCTTTGCTATGTTGGTTGTACTATTATCACTCATTTGCTGATAAGGAAGGAAGAGATACAGATACGATAAAGGAGTTTTCAAGGAAAGTATCAGAGTGGACTTCAAAAAAAGAAAAAAAATCAAGCTTCCTTGACAATTTCTTTTGAAAAGCTGTTCAAGTGATCACTGAAAACTTTAAACCCCAAAGATATAAACAATTGTGTTTACAAACCATTATGAAATATCACTTTCAATGGGAAAAGTCTCATATGAAGCTAAGAGGTTTTAAATTGTTTTCTTCCTGTAAGTGTGGTTTTCTTCATTTGAGATTTAATTTTTGAGAAAACAGAGAAATTGAAATTAATTTATTAAATGCTAACATCAGAATTTCCCACCCAATGTGTACTAAGCTTAAAAATATAAAATTACATGTTTTAAAAGTTTTTATTTAAATTAATTTGAGGTAATCATTAATCTTAGGGTAAGTGGATGATAGGAGGCATGCTTAAACTTAATAGCTGCTGAAATAGCTGGTATCTCAGCCCACATTGTACATGCTTCCTGTGGTTTTTAACAGATAAAAAACTGAGTAATAAATAATTTGCTCTTTAAGAAGATGGGCATATTCTATAAGACTTCTATGTATACATAAGAGATTATTACCTCAACATTAGCATTCATTGTGTCCACTGACCAAGTTTTGGGCTGGCTTTTCTATGAGGCAGAGCAGTAGATGACTTGTGTCTAAAGGGTTCTCCAAGGGGAGAACTTACCACCTTCAAAAACAGAGGCAAGCAGGCAAATTCAGCCTATCTCTTCCGGGGCCAAACCCTACAGGAAATGGGCCTTTTCTTTTGAAGTGCAACATAATGTAGACCACTTGGATTTTTATCTTGGCCCAAGCCCCCATGATTAATGTCTGAGTTCTGTGGAGAAGAATGGGTACGAGCTAATTTAAGGTGAGTTGTGTTGTCAAACACAGCGTCATAGTCTGCAAAACATGGGCGTATAAGCAGCATAGCTTTGTGGAAAAGCCCAACATGTTTTCCAGTCTTTAAATAATGACATATAAAAAAAATTTCCCCAATACTTAATCTTGTAACATTAAGCTGTTTTGAAACATGAAGGCATATATATTTAATATTGGGGAAGGTGACATCCATGAGAATCTCTGATGCCAGATCAAAGTGGAAGTAGTCATCAAAAATAAAGTGGTTCATCAAAACTTGTGTTACAAATCCCCAAAGAATGCCAAGGAAAAGAATCTGGAGCAGAAGTGGAGAAGAAAGCATGAAATTATTTATGCACATAAATGAGGTACATCTTTGTGGCCTCGCATAAAAACATACTTAGATATTATTTTACAGATGCTGGGTAGGAGATGAATAAGCAAGAAAAAGCACAAGGGTATTCAGTGGCTCCACTTTTGTTCACAAGCTGGCAGATCTAGAGAAGGTCTCCTTTTATCCATCACGATCATTTTATTTCTATCACGTTTGAACATCAGATTGTCTATATGAGACTAATGAGATATAATACATTTCTGGTAGGGTCTTGGGTTCTAAACACATTCAAAATAAAAATAAAATCATCTTGCATAAGTATGTGGCATTCTGCCACTTCCATGACAAATCTACTTATTCAACAAGTATTCTTTGAATGCCTAGTGTTTGCCAGAGATTTTGTTGTTGGTTGAGATATAAGTAATAAATCCTGCCTGCCTTCAATTTAATCAAGGTCTTTAAAGGGAATCAGACATGTAGACAAACACACAGTGTAGTGTGAACAAATACAGAGATGTGCTCAGTTTGATGAAAGTACAAGGAAGGTCTCACTATGTTAGAGAATGATTTGGAAGTGATGACAGTTCTGACAGATGGCATGAGGACAGCATAAATCAGAAGGGGAAACTTAGGTATATCAGTACTGTATATGCATGGCAGGAAGGCATCTTCAGGCAAACCCAATGGAATTGCCATTCTTGCGTCAGTCTGAGTTTTCAGATGAGCTAACCAGTAGTGTTTCTCTGGTAGCAGAGAATCAGTACATGTATATACAGATGTTCAACTTACAATGCAGCGTACATGAAACCATCCAAGAGATCTCAAAGTAAGACTTTTCCTAAAGGGTTTGCTGTTGTTCTCTTTTGCTTCCATCTCTGCTTTTAACAAAGGCTTAAGCAAAGACAGAAAATAAAATCTACTGTACAGTTTAATAACTAATTTTACATACTTTGTCTTGGTCTATTTTTTTGAGTGCTCCACCAACTGCAACCATATCTTAAATATTGATATTCTCCAGCCCGTGCCCCGGCAGCAATCCACTGGACAACCCCCCCACCCCAATCCTCTGTACAGCCACCTGGTTCCACACTACAAAGACGCACAGGGCACTGGACCACCAGACCAAGGTACTGAGTCCCGCTGCTCCCGGCCCAGAGGCAGGGGCTTCTGAGCCACCATCCCACTGCTCCTGGACCAGAGGAAGGGACATCCTGGCCACCATCCTTCCTGCTGCTCCCAGCCCAGAGGAAAGGGCTTTTGGGCCACCAACTGTCCTGCCACTCCTGGCCCAGAGGAAGGGGCTCCCGGGCCACCATCCATTCCACTGCTTCTGGCCCAGAGGTAGGGGCTTCTGAGGAGCCATCCCACTGCTCCTGGCACAGAGGAAGGGGCTTCCCAGCCACCAACCCTCCCACTGCTCCCAGCCAAGAGGAAAGGGCTTTTGGGCCAACTTCAGTCCTGCTGCTCCTGACACCGAGGAAGGGGCTTCTGGGTCACCATCCCTTCCACCACTCCTGGCCCAGAAGTAGGGGCTTTTGAGCCTCCATCCCACTGCTCCTGGTCCAGAGGAAGGGGCTTCCCAGCCACCATACATTCCA